AATTTTATTAAATTATTTTGAAATTCTATTAATTTTGAATAAGATAACTTTTGTATTGCTTTCAAAAAAATAAAGATAGATAATTTATTAGACACATAAATTATAAAAAATTATGTAAATATCAATAAAAAAATAATGTAAGTAGCATTATTAAACTAAGCCTTTGTAAAGTAGTAAGGTAAGAAAATACGTTTTTACCCAAAAATAAAATAAAAGAAAATAAAATAAACGTGCTACAAAGGCGTTGAAGGGCATCTGTGAGCATTATAAAAGACGGTTGGGAGAAGTGCGTCCAAACCACAAAGAAGTGAAGCTTTGAATTAGATCTCAGTCATGGGAGTAATGTTAGGCTATTCAATTCCTCTCCTTTTCTTAACTCTGTTTGCCACCGCAAACCCTTTCAATTCCGCAGTTCACGGAGGAATCTGCACCGAATCTAAAAAGTCCACCCTCTTGATCGTCTTCGGCGACTCATTCTTTGATGTTGGCTACGGTAATGAAGAACTTTGTCTTCCATCTAAAGGCCAACCATATGGGAAATCACTTGACCTCCAGCAAGTTGCCCCTGGAAGATTCTCGGATGGTCTTCTAGTGCCTGATTATATTGGTAAGATCCTTTTATAATGTTTAGTAGAACGTATCATTGTGGAGGATATCTCCAAAAACATCTTATTTTAATTAATATTTTTTAAAACTAATTAGTTCATGATCGAACTTGTTCTTCAAAACCTTTTCTAACTTGATTATTGCCAACTTTTTGTAACTATACCATAACCATGTTTGCTTCGCTGGTTTCAGCCAAACACCTAGGCCTGGATAATAACGGCAGAATTGCTTCATACAAGCATAACTTAGATATCCAACAAACATTACTAGGCCAAGGCAAAGGATATGCTAGTTTGAGCTTTGCCATGGCCGGAGCAGGTGTCAAGCAAAGCGCAGATAAGGTATATATGCAAGCAAATTAATTAAGTTTCTAATTAATTCAGTCATCAACACTATTGACAATAATATAGCCTAATTAATTTGATAATTACATCAAATTTAATACCATTAAATATATGTTAGCATATAAAATTTATTTGATAAAAGGTTTGTAAATATTAAATCAAGATGAAAATTGACATAAATATTTTATATAAATAAAATTTATAATCTAGCAACTAGTTTTTTAAAATAGTAATTAAAAAAAGAGATTTAAATAGATCTTCTATAAAAATTTGAGAAGGCGACTTATAAAACACTTTTCTCATGTATTAATTTGTATTGCAAAAAATTAAGTAAAAAAATACCCTAAAACTATGCCTTTTAATAAAATACTATAAGATACAGAACTTCTAAATTTGCCCTCTAAATTTGTCCTTCAAATAGAAAGGAAAAGACAAATCTGCCTTTGAAAAAAAAAATTACTCCTTCAAATTATCATCAAGACAAATCACATATTATTTAATACGTAGTTTGTCAAATAAGTATATTTTTAACAAAAAATTGACATATGATGACATACTATATTTAATAATAAATAATTTATTTTAATTTATAATTTAGAGAAACAATTTTTTTTTTTTTTGGCAAATCTATTTCTACCTTCATATCTAAGAGACGAATTTGGGGATTTGATTCCATTAGAAATCACCAAAACAACTTTACCACTAGAAAAAACCAAAATAATCCCATTCCTGTTAACTCGTCCAATAAATATTTCACTAGACTCTCTACCACTTCATAAATCGCTGGAAATGAATTTAATTTATATACTTAATTATTTGGTTTGACTCATTTTCTAATTAATTGCATCTATTTTGCAGTCGAAATCACTAAGCAATCAAGTTGATATTTTCCTCGATAATTCGAAAAAGTTTTTTGTTGGTAGCGGAGCGAAATTCGTAGGCAAGCAAGATGAGACTCTCTATTTATTTTCAATAGGTACATACGATTATCT